CTCATTAAAATAACAGTTTTACTTGTGAATGAAAAACAGCAGATGTATTAGAATCCGACAGAACTATAGAAACATTGTTTGCATGAAGAAACCCTATCTTTAATAAAAACCTTGTAATGATAAAATCTTTGGACTATAGAAACACTGTAAAAAGTAATAAGTGAAACTGTCCTAGGATACATGTCTGAAATGACATACTTTGTCAAGAACAATAAAAATCATAGTTATGTGGATAGCATAAAAACAAGCTAGTGGAAGTGCAAAATTATGTTAAATTATTTCATGATATTTAAACAGGTGTCCTTTTGAGGATAATAATTGGAAAGTATGCTAAAATATAGAAACTCAAACTATAATCAGTATGTTAAAAGAAAATTTCCTGTCTTGTTAATATCAGTAAAAAATTTTAGGTACAGTAAAACTTTTAAGTAGTAAATTAAATAAGATGAGGCATGTTGAAACTTGCATGTTGTTCTACAGAAATCAAGAAACACGATCTTAAAATGTAGGCAATGAAATGCAAGTTGAAATATGTATGAAACATTCGCCTATAGAACCTTAGTAACACAATCCGCCTAGCACCACCATCTATCTATACAAACATTATCTTTAGTAACACAATACACCTATACAAATGCAGTCCATGTTTGTAAAATGTATACATAAACACTACCCCTTAGTAACATTGTCCATCTTTGTAAAATGTACTTAATGTTTTACTTATCAAGCAAAACTGAAAAATCGATGTTGTGCCTAGTCAGATCATCCACCTAGTAGCATCATTTGCCTATAATAACACTATCCGCCTACAAAAACACCATACAGCTTTGTAAAATTTATTTATCCTAAAACTATAAAGTAGCATGTGTAAAGTGAAATATTTTGTTCAGAATAATAAAAATCATAGTTATATGGATAACATAAGGACAAGCTGGTGAAACAGTTTGTCAGTAAAATAATGGTTTTACTTATAACATAATTAACATAATCACATGTTGGGACACATTCAGACACGCTAAGATGAGATCATCATGGGCCTAGTAACGTGCTATCTGGTACCACTTCATGGCTCTATCAACCAATTTTCTGGACAACTTCTGTTGTCATGACAACATCTAGTGCACTTTGGTTCCACTTCTGGGACTATGACGTCATGCCTAGCAACACTCCCACTGTCTTTTGTCTGTCCAAGCAACGTGTCCTCTGATAACACTTCATGGAACTATGACGCCATCGTTTCTGGAGTATATGACATCATCATCGTTACCCCTCCCCCTGAGGTCGACACACTTTTGTTGCCCTCTGGTGGCGTGCCTGTCAAGTACCGCCCTCTCTACTTTGACCTACTATCAAGATGTTTTCTATCCTTCTGACCTTTGTTCATTTGTAATATGACTCTCATTGTCCGCAACTTCAGAAACAACCTGTTCTCTGTCACGTAATAGTTGAATGTAATGAAAAACAAGAATTAATAGATTTCAGATTCGTCTGATATGTAATAACACAGAACATGTTTGTAGTTGTAAAAATAAGATTCTTCTCACATAGATGTTGTGAATTTTATATGTCATAATATTTATGTAAATTAGACATTCACTGTAGTAATGACAATGTTATTAATATGATGATTTATAATTCACTTATGTTTTATTAAGTATCATAATTTCTAGTTTCTTTAGTGCTGAACGAAAATGCAATGTGTTGATGTTTTTGATGATTTCTATAGAGGCAGAGCGAACACCATTAGACACTTGTACGATATATAGGACGGAGAATGTGCTAAATATTGAAAAAATAAGTACCATAAATACCATAGGAGTCTGTAAAATGATCTGAGAGAGGGTAATGTAGTTTACCTAAAAAAAAGAAACATTTTCAGAGACCCATGTTCGACAACAGCCTCGTGGTCTCATGTTGAGACAATCAGTGTATGTGGCCAAGAGTCCATAAAGTGTAGATGAGCATTCCAATAGTAGGAACATAGTTTCCCTAATATAGTAGGGTAGTCAACCACACAGTACTCCTGTAAGTTGCAGAGTTGCAAGAACTTATGTTCAGTCTGTGCTAAATGAAAATGTACGACGACTTTCTTGAATTATTGGAATGTAAAAACACATAACAATATGGCTGATAATATTCCTTTGCAAATCTTTATTCACTGACTTTTTACTACATGTTTCCAATGAGAAGATACATAACAACATCTGAACTGTACACATCTTGTGATGCATGCCTCTGAAAACAAGGCCTTTCATCCTGTACGAGAGCTCATTGGGTTAGATGGTAATGCAACATCTAAAGTTAAATACCTTAATAAATGATGTAATGTTCAACCATTTGCCTATAGTAATACTACCCTTCGTAACACAATGTGCCTAGTAACACCATCCACCTTGTAAAATGTACATAATACAATTAAGTATATAAACTAAAAACTTTAAGTCGACGACAATGATAAGAACTAGAGATTAAAATAGAAGAGCTAATGTACATTTTCCCCTATAAAGCAAAACTGTAATTTTGATAGAGATGAAAAACTTCTCAATACTGATAATTGTAAACACAATATTATGCAAATTAGATAAAATATTAATTTTAAGACTTTGATTGTTACTATAAAGTTCATGACACGTTGATACCTATTGATGTACATCACTCGCTGGTTTATACAGCTATAGACCGGGTTTCGATACTCGTAGTGAGTAGAGCACACACAACTCATTGTGTTGTTTTGTGCTTAATTACAAACACCCTCTGGTGGTTCACTCACGAAATATCTGCACACTCATCATAGATGATTTCATCGTCCTACCCCTCCTCTAGCAACACGCCACCCTCTGGTACCACTTGTGGAACTATGATGTCACCTCTTGTCTAAGATAGTGGCGCCCTCTGGTATTTCACATATCACATAACAGTTGTCGGCATCCTTTGTATATTATGTGACATTTGTGTATCCCTCAGGTATTGGCATCATTCGCATATTAGGTAATAGTTATGTAACTCCTCAAGCAGCATCCTTTGATTTCCACTCACCTGGTAACAACACACTGGAGCGGCATCCTTTGTGCGTAGGGTACTGCAACAACTGCCTATATACAACAAGCCATTTCCTTTGGTAATTAAGAAAATCATATTTCTGAACTTTTTTGAGGTCATGACAACTTCGAACACTTTGATCATGGTGACTATAAAAGAACTGATGAATGTTACTGGTTATGGTAATGGAAATTGTGAAAAAAATATAGCTTAAAATAGAAAGTACAAGGCTAAAAAAACATTGATCACCTGAGACATAATGGGAAATGTCTTTAAATGCTTCCTTGCAATTTCATGTGGGAATTACAAACCGTTTATACACAGTTGAATGATAGGTGTTGAAATATTTCTTAAATGTTCAATGGTTCAGTAAACTTGCAGGACGAGAGTGATCTAGTAAGTAGCATGTCGGGCTGTGGATCTGAGAATCGATAGTTTGTATCCCATTTTTACAAAAAAATCATACTCCACTCTTTGGGGCATTGGGTCTGTTATAAGAGGGACGGGCAAATTCTGCTATTCGATTAAAATGCCCTGAGAGTTGGTGGTGGGTGCTGTTCACTAGTTGCCTTCTCTTTACTCTTTAGTCCATGAGTTCAAAATTAGGGACAGCTAGAGTAAACAGACCTTGTGTACTTTGTACGAACCAAACCATCTAGCAGGCTTCCACTAGTGTATTTAAAATTATTTAATATTTTATGCATAAAGTTTTTGAAACTACCACCGCCGTTAATTTATTAAGGACATTTGTGCAAAAACAAAACAAACTAGAGAATATTCTAACTAAGTTCAAAGAAAGAACAAGATATGTAGATATGAATGTTTACGTAATGTTACGTTGAATTTTATAATAAGATACAGCTTGTTAACTCTACTACTATAATTGTGAGAATGACATTTATACATCTATTAACCAGAGCATACCAAGAGCTTTTCAGAAATGCACAATCTATCAGTTTTGATTATTGATGTGTATTATATAACTCAATATCCACAAAAGCTGGGTAATGCTATGATGTGTGCTCTACATTTAGCTTTCAATACATGATAAGTTCCAGAAAAGCCAAAATGGTTCTCCTTAGAAGTCCTGTGAAAATGCTACGTTCCTCATAGCCAATCAGATTTTAAACTGAAATATATCGCTAAATTCGGAGTTCAATCACTGGCAGTGTTACAATGGGATTTTGAAAGAGGTAGAACTCCTTTTTATGACATTCCCATCAGAAGACCAGGAATGCTAATGGCTTGAATCCTAAGAGGTGGAACTCTATTACGGACCATTCTGCCCCAATTTAACTGGTAAAAGAGAGAGCGAAATAATTGAAATTAGCATCATTAATTTAATTTTTCAAAGATAATGAGAAAAAAACACTTGCTACTACATACTGCTTGAAATTGTACAGAGGCAAGAATTGTTCCGATGTTTTTCGAAAACATAAACAAATGAAAGGAAGCATTTCTTCTGACACTATGTACATTAATAAAATATCGTTACAATTTTAGGAACGTATGTGTATATGGCTAACAACTGAAAATCTTTAATTAGCCACATACTTTTGAAATAATTATATATATATATATATGTGTGTGTGTGTGTGTGTGTGTTGTAACTAAACTGTATGCGCCACACTAATTTGAACATCTTTGCTTTTTTGGAATCATTTCTTAACTGTAATAATATTCTTGATAATAAGTTTAACCACTATATTCTTAAATAGCTCAACACAGGCTTCCAGTAAGAATTTTGTGTTGTACTAGTTTAAGCACAATTTGATATATACCACCATCGATGAGGACTTTCAGCGAATTACAGAACTCATCAGTCTGGTGGAAAAAACTCTGATTTAAAGGTTATTTGTATCAATTTGTTTGCAAGGTATCAAATGTATGGTGTGAATTTATAAAAGTAAAATTTTATTTATAGTAAGGATAATTTCCTGAACTACAGTACTACTCTACAGGTAAAGATACGGGTTTTGTAACCACTGCCAGAGTCACCCACGCAACCCCAGCTGCGCTGTATGCACACTCCGTGAACCGAGACTGGGAGTCAGATGATAAAATACCATATAACTCCACCAAGTGTAAAGACATTGCCCGACAACTTGTGGAGGACGTGCCTGGAAGAGATATCAAAGTGAGATATGATTTGTTCATATAAGGAAAACGGTAATCATTTCACGAAATATCAGGAATATAACAATTATAATAAGATAAAAAAAAAACGGACCAATGCTTTTGCTAATGACCCACCCAATCGAAAAAACAACAACAAAAGATAACCTATTTGTGGATATGTTACATCTGTGATGATTTATCTTCATAAAGACACATCTCTGGTAGTTATATATTTTAATTTCTTATCAACTTATTGGTTCTGTTAATTGGCGTGTGGACATGAACATGTAACTATAAAATTGTATAGTTTGCCATTCCCAGTTTGCCCCTGAAGAAGAAAGATCCACCTTTCGAAAGTGACCGGGTTATAGGGTTTTTATTCATTTCTATCAAGACTTCTTGAACCTATAGTATAGTGTAATGTTATTTCTTGTCTTTGCAATTCTTTTGGTTAATTGTGATTGTACTGGAAACATGCTTCTTGTGACATCTCCTCAACTGGCCATTTGTAATTCAAAATATTTTCAAATGTAAAGACCATTACACAAAAGAGAGATTTTCAGACTATTACTAAGCGCAACTGTGACATAAAATGCTAAGAATACCAAAATTCAAGGGCCATCAGTTCCTCTAACAACCCAACCACTAGCTACATAGAATAATACAGAATACTATACTTGGAAAAGATTAAGTGAAATAGTGGGAACATTCTTGACAGAGTAGTACTACAAATAGAGATGAGGCCTTAGCAGATGGAAATAGACAACGGCACAAACAGGGATTTTGAGAGGGTCAAGATCAATAGCTTACAAGATTCTCTAACCTATCTTCTTTCCCAGTAGTTAGTCATCCTTTTTCACTTAGTTGATGCCATTATCTGCCCAACAGTTTCAACTTTTCTTCATTGTTATTTTACTATTTATAAAAATGGGCTTAATTTTCTCTTTTATATGACTTTGCAATTAAGATAACTGATAAGTTTGTTTGAAGTTAAGCACAAAGCTACAAAATGGGCTATCTGTGCTCTGCACACTGAGGGTATCGAAACCCGGTTTCTAACGTTGTAAGTCCGCAGACATACCGCTGTACTATTGGGGGGCAAGATAACTGTTAAACAGGCTCAACAGTATGTCTGTGGACTTACAACGCTACAAACGGAATTTCGATACTCATGGTGGACACATGTGCAGCATTGTGCTTAACTGCAAACAAACATAGTATTAAACCTTTTCTCATTAACAATTTCGCTACATACTTACAAATTCTTGCAGCGATTTCAGTATACATTTTTGAGTTGTAATTGTTGTTAATATCCCTTTCATTTGTTTTTGCATATCTGTATAAAGAATTGTTTCAGGGCTCAGCAATAAGTCTTGGTGGTTTATAACGCCAAAAATGATGTTTCAATATCTTCTGCGGACTGAATATAGATAGCCCATCGTATAGCTCTGCGCTTAACAATAAACAAAACAAACCAAAAAACAAAATCACACTATTATTCTACTCTATGGTTTTTCTCTATCTTTAATTATACTTGTCATACGACATTAGTATTAGACCTATTGTATTTTAAAACACTACATTATCTAGTCCCTTAGGGCTTTTTAATAATTAGAAGAGTGAATAATATTAATAATCCAACCATACTATACTAGTCGTATTTATTGCCGATGACGCGTTTCGCTCAGTTCAAATGGGTTATATAAATAGTGTTACGACTACTATCGTGTTTGTTGTGTCCCAGTTGGCTTGAAGATAGGGGGATTGAGCGAAACGCACTGTCGCCAACAGATATGACGAATATAGTGTGGTTGGAATACTGTTATAATACAATCTTCCAGTTCTTGAAAATCCCTAAGAGACGATAAAAGAATGTAGTGTTTACAAATATAATAGACCTAATAATAATATCTTATGACGAGTTTAATTAATTATAACAAATAATAACCATGCTTCACCAGCTTGTAAAAGGCGTTGGCACCATAACAATTGTTTCTGAATCTTTGACAATATTATCTATTATGCACAATATCGTGCCCTCCTGAGATATCTCTCATCACTTAAGTTAGGTATTCCAAGTGATGAAAAGTATTTGAAAGCTTATAACTCAATTTGACCTCAATATATACTTGAAGTCTAAAAATCTTAGTCTAAAAATATCTTTTTCTTTTTCCTAAGTGGCCATTTCTTGGGACAGACTCATTACAATGTAGAATTTTGCCTTTTGACTGATGGGTCTTGTAATTCTGTTAGTTGTCGAGTGGAGCCTTGTCTTTGTCTAGAATAATTGTTTGTTGTTGAATTTCGTGCAAAGCTACTTGACAGCTATCTGTGCTAGCTGTCCCTAATTTCGAAGTGATAGAAAGACAGCTAGTCAACACTATCTACCGCCAACTCCTAAGCTACCCTATACCAACGAATATAACACCCTCAAGGCTGAAAGGGTGAGCATGTTCGGCGACATCTTTCGATCCCGCGACCCGCAGATTTCGAGTCGAGCTCTCTAACCATATGGCAAGCTTCCATATGTTTCTGCAGGAAAAAGTCACTTGAGATTTGTAGTACTTATCACTTTACCTCCAAGTCTCGAAATCAAGCACAAAAGGCAATGAACAGTAAGTTTAAGCCTGAACACGAACCTTATATTCAGAGTAACATCAAGATAATATGCTATAGTGGCATGTATGTAAATTTATTACACTTGATGCCGTCAAGAACCTCAATGATACTCGAACGTGGTTACAAAATATTATTGTAGAGGGTCCGGCATGGCCAGATGATGAGGGTCGCAGGTTCGAATCCCCGTCCCATCAAGCATGCTCGTCTTTTCAGCCGTGGGGGCATTATAATGTGATGGTCAATCCCACTATTCGTTGGTAAAAGAGTAACCCAAGAGTTGACGGTGGGTAGTTATGACTAGCTCCTTTCCCTCTAATCTTTCACTGCTAAATTAGGGACGGCTAGCGCAGATAGCTCTCGTGTAGTTGTGCGCGAAATTCAAAACAAACAAACTATAGTAGTTAAATGATATAGACCTGATGTCTACCTTGTAAACCTTCGAAGTTTCAAATGGGTAAAAAAGGAAATCCTCGATCTTAACAGGAGTAGTGAAAGAAAAAGAGGCTTGAGGTAATAACTTCAACTAAAAGCCTGAGCGAGCGAATCTATCAGCTTGAGACGTCTCCTCCTCAAGAGGTTTGAATTATACAGAGAGTTTAATCTTGACCAATAATTCTCTCAGTTATTGTGGTCCAGTTCAAACATTACAAAAGAGTTCCTAGGACTAACCTCACTGTTCGATCATGGGTATGGCTAGAGAATGATAAAGTAAAAGGCATATCTTCCACATATTTAACCATAACTGACGTAAAGTCCTAATTTGTAATAAACAGTTTAGAACTTATCTAATTTTTCTCAATCATGACATCAGAGTTGTGTTTTTACATGCACACAAAGGTGGCATTATGGTAGTGTAGGTGGTCTAACTTTGTCCAAGTCAATTGTGCAAGTAGTCAGTTTGTTTCTCGACTACTGCTTTATTAGCATGACAAAGAGGTGCTACCTTTTATTCTTTTTATTGTTTTAAACCATAACTTTTCAGGAAAGAACACTTGCACCACACATACACTGGACATAATGTATAGAACATTTTCTTCCTCAGATAGTGAGGGAGATCCAAGTTTTTATGATAGTTATGATGCTTGACCTGGTGTTGAACTTTTTCTTGTTTGAGATCGATATATCAGTGTAATCTATGAAAGTAGTTGCAAGTAATATAGTTTTAGTGAGAGAAATCATACTTCTCAAGCAATGTCAGAATACCTTCCTCTTCCTTTGTCTAAGGATATTTGAAATACTAAGAAGATTCATCCAGTTCATTGTATTAGCTATATATATACCCCGAGATCTCTCAGGATGCATTCAAATAAAATGTTTCATATGTAAGGGGCTTTGTCATTTCAATTGGGCATTTGTAATAGAAAATCGTAGGTCAAACAAAGTTTAAAACATTAAAAACATAATGTTTCTTTAGTCAACGTAATATTTGAATGAAAACTCAATGGAGAAGTTTACAAGATTTATCTCTTTGTTGATTCACTGAATCAACTTCCTCAATTCATTGAGAATATGAACAGTATATGATAGTCAAGAATTGATTTTATGCATGTTTTATTCTGTTTATAAGTGACAGTAGACTTGTCAATTATATTTATCAGCTTACTTAATTTTCATGATTTGTTTATATGACACTTAACATATCAGGTAATACTAGGAGGAGGACGACGTCATTTTTTTAGTAACCATATAATGGATCCTGAAGAAGACCAATACCATCTTAGAAAGGACGGGCGAGACCTCGTAACCGAATGGACCAATGATAAAGCCCGAAGACATGCTTCTTTTGCATTTGTTACTACCACCAAGGAATTCCAAACTATAAACATAAATAAAACAGATTATTTGTTAGGTAAGAAATATTTTACTGGAAACATAATGTTTAAATGATTTGATCAATTGACAAGAATTGTAGAATACATAACTAAAAGTAATGAATGTCTGAAATAATCAGTTATATTTATGACGCGTATCCTTTTGAATGGCAAATCGATAATACATATTTTTCTACTTTGAAGCACGTTATTTATATTTAGATATGAAAATTTTAAAAGGTTCTGTATTTGTTTGTTTTGTTGAGGGCTATCTGCGCTGTTTGAGCGAGAGACTACAGGGAAGGCAGCTTGTCAAAACCACCCCTGCCAACTCTTGGGTTACCATCTACCAATGAATTATGGGATTGACCATCACTTTGTAACGCCCCCGCGAGCTGAAAGGGCGAGCATGTCATCAGATCGTCAATTAAACATACATTTGGTTTATCAAACTTTAAATAGTCTGTTTGTTTGTAGTTTTGCACGAAGCTACACAATGGTCTGGCTGTACTCTCCCAACCACGGGTATTGAAACCCGGTTTCTAGCGTTGTAAGTCCGCAGACATGCCGCTGTGCCACTGAAGGGCCTTTAAATAGTCGCCAAAATGTTCAGGTAATTCTTGTACAATTAGCTTTAGAATCTATTAAAGTGGTGTTCAACGTAAAACAAGACGGAGAACATATTTTTTGAAAAAAAATATACCTTCCTCACAAACTGCATTTAGTGTTATAAAAGAAAAAATAAACAGTACAAATTTGCCCAATCTGGCATAAAAAGAGCAAAGGATCATAGTGAGGGCTCTTGGAAATGCCAATAAAGTCCTACCCACGCCCTCCTTTTATTGTGTGTTTGTTTGTAATTATGCACAAAGCTACACAATGAGCTATCTGTGCTCTGCCCACCATGGGTATCGGAACCCGATTTCTGGCGTTGTAAGTCCGCAGACATACCGCTGTGCCACTGGGGGCCCCTCCTTTTACCCAGAAGGTCATGGCAAGATACTGATGGGGTGTTGAATATCGTCAAATATCCCAAGAATTACCTTCTTCATCGAAGAAAGATTAAATTATTAGCCGTTATTAAATTAATTGCAAATCAAGCATTTTATTCAGCTCACCTGTAATATCCTCGAGAAAGTTACCGCGTGATGGATCACTAGATTTGTCTAGTGTTCTCGACCAGACCCACTCACGAACCAAAGATAATTTCACGGTCTATGTTTGGATACTGATGTTACAGTGTATAACTCTGACATAAGTATGTAAATTAATGAATTTTTCAAATAAAAATTAATTTAATTTAATCGAACGTAATAGTACTTCTATTTTTCAACATAACATAGAAGCTCGAACTTGACAGATCCGTAGGGGTCTGTGGATCAAAGAATGAGAACCATTTGTAAAAGAATATAAGGTAAATTATTGGCTATGCTATAATATAATATTTATAAAAATATCTCATGATATGCCTCTGGTGTGAGTAATTTATTTACCATTTGTTTATTTCAGTCAAACACTAAAGTAATGACGCTCTAAAAGCTGAATATTGCCTGAAGTTCAAATCCCTCTAATTAAATAGACTGTAAAAATGTATGTAAATCCTCCAAGGTATCTTTATTCTAAGCTTGTACATTTGTTTAAATTAAACATTTCTTAAAGTCCCTAAACTCTTACCGCCCCCCCCCCCCCAGTGGCACAGCGGTATGCCTTCGGACTTACAACGCTAGAATTCGGGTTTCGATACCCGTGGTGGGCAGAGCACAGTTTGTTTTGTTTATCTGATCTGAATTTCGCGCAAAGCTACACGAGGGCTATCTGCGCTAGCCGTCCCTAATTTAACAGTGTAAGACTAGAGGGAAGGCAGCTAGTCATCACCACCCACCGCCAACTCGATCAAATAATGGATAAATTAACATAGTGTATGTGATAAAAACTTTTTTACATGACATATGTAATACACTGTATTATAACAGTTGTCTTTTTAAAATAATGCTTTTACTTATCAAGTATTAAAAGCTTTTATAACCCATGCAAATCAATTATCAACTCAAAATATAATTAGTTAGACTCTCTTATTTAAATACAAGTTCTATTTGAAACATTTTAGGACATATAAGTGATAAATATAAGTTGAGACAAGTTGAAACCTGTATGCGTGAAATTATGAGAAACATTTTAGGACATGTAATTAGATATATAGATTAAAACTATAAACAAGTTGAAATAAGTTGAAATCTCTATGCAGTCCTACGAGACTACAGTCTTTAATAACACTATCTGCCTTTATAAAACGTACGTAATACAATTAAATACATCAACAAAAGCTATAAAGTTGACTATAATGATACGAACTAGAGATTAAGATAGCAGATTTAATGCAAGTTTTCCTGATAAAGCGAAACTAATTTTGATGAAGATTAAAAAATTTTCATTGCTGATAATTTCAAAAAGAACGTTATGCACATTGGATAAAATATTACTTATTACTGAAGCAAAAAATTATAAAGTTCATGACGTAATCACCTGTTGAGACACGTTTGTATCTGTTGATCTACATTACCCTTTGGTGGTACTCTCGCGAACTATCTGCACGCTCATCATAAATGACCACATCGTCCTATCCCTACTCTAGCAACGCAACCCTAACAACACGTCTTCTGGTGCCACTTTGTAGATCTATGACTCCAAGCAACGCGCCCTCTGGTGCCACTTCAGGGAATTGTGACGTCATCGTCTCTACATCCATCTCCCTATCGCCCCGAGGCTACCAATCAGCATGCATCTTTTCGGTCCAGGGGTACAACCCTAATTAGTTACTAATTTCAGACTTGATATTTTTCTGGTATTTCTCACTAGGTTTATAACAATATCTGCTGATATATTTAAATGTAAACTTTGATATTAAGTATAGTCTAGGCTTTTCAAATACATATATCTGTAAATAATCTGTGTTTGAGTATTGTCTTTTAAGGAAAAATTTTACTTTTGGATGGCTTTCTGTGTTGTGGTTCTGGGGAGGGGGCAGAATGTGCTAGGAACAATACACAAATTCAAATTCTTCCATTTGTTTTCTCTATTGCAGTCAAATTGAATTGGCCCAGTGTTTCTGTCAGAAACAAATATATATAAGTACCATATTTAACAACGGATGATGTGCAGTTAAACGAAAATAGTATTGCTATTAAAGAAATTTAACAGTTACAAAAACGGTTCTGACTTTTTTCGTATAACATGAATAGGAAAAATCCTACATGTTAAAGCCAGTGAACTTATATAAAAAGACAAACAAGTTTTTGTCATACGCTTAATTGTTATTTATCCTTAAATTCAGATATCAGAAATCTGTCCTTAAACAACTCAAAAACGAGGAAATATTTTTTTGTGTCTTCTATAAATTAACCACTAAGGAGCGAAGATTAATAGGGCATCTAATCATTGTTTCATTATAATTCTGAGTAGGGTCTCTGATGGATCGTTTATGGTCGTCTATGCTCTGTTATGGTTATTTTATTCTGATTTGAAATATTATATTACTGAAAACAGAGATTACAAAGAAACTATTAACGTTAACTCATATCTAGTGAAACCTATATTTCATGCCATTTTCAACTAATTTATTCAAATAAATCCAATGTGAAAACTTAAAAATAGTGCTATGATTTTAAGTTGTTGAGTTCTAGTGTCTCAATAGGTATTGTTTTAAATGTAAAACAAAGTTAGTTATTTTGCTATTTCGAAGTTTATATCATATTTCGACAAGTTGTTCCTGACCCTGAAATCCAACATATTTCAGGGCTTTTCAGTTACTCCCACATGCAGTATGAATTAGAAAGAAATAAAGGACCAGAGGGTGAACCATCGATAGCTGAGATGACCAAGACTGCCATCAAAATGCTTCAGAAAAATTCAAATGGCTACTTTTTATTAATTGAAGGTAAGTTAATAAGAAAATGAAATTAGTGAACTTCAAAATCACCGTTTTTAGGTTTCTACATAATAAGTCTCTAGTTATGTCAAAATGAACGTTTGTATTTAGACATTAGCAACGTATATATTTCTTAGCGTCAACTTTCTTGTGATATACATGTTACGACAGCGGAAGTCATGCGACGCTGGGAGCATGCGCGCTGGAGTTTCTAGAAGGATCATGGCTTATCGGGCAACCTCACGAATGTCCCAGCGTTTGCTAAACGCCTTCTTTTTTAGTATATAAGCCGGAAATAGATTGAAGAGAAATAATGGATAATTGAGTCAAGCGAACAGTAGGCACCTTAAATAAAGTGTGTGAATCACTGCGATTTATAGCGTGTGTTATAAAGGTTGTTACGTTTAAAGTGATGTGGAAATTCTGTGTATTACAAAAAGTTGTATCGAGAAAGAATAAACTAGTTTTAATCAAGAAGGGACTTGTATTGCTGAAGTTCCTCGGAAAGAATTTTTACGGGAAATTATCAAACAAGCAGATACGTAACACACGTTTACTTCTGATTACTTGCGACGGTAACCCTATGTCAATTTTATTATTGCACACGTTTACTTTGATTACTTGCGACCATAAGCCTATATCAGTTTTCTTGTTGCACACGTTTACTTCTCAGTTTAATCACAAAAAATGTGTTTTGTTATTAGTTCCGCCTTTGTGCATTATTATTCGTTTGAAGTTAAGCACAAAGCTACAGAAGGGGCCAACTGTGCTCTGCCCACCACGGATATCTAAACCCGGTTTCTAGCGTTGTAAGTCAGCAGACATTCCGCTGTGCTACTGGGGGGCTTTCGTGTATTAAAAAGATTTTCAAATGACCTTCAGTCTTCATGGTCGATAAGTTTTGATTTCAAAAACAAAAATATATTATTAGTAATACACGAAGTAAGCGTGATTCGAAGAAAACAGCTTTAAGCATTTTCTTTCATTTATTGTAAAAATTTCCTTACGGATTTTAAAGAGCAATCAAGGAATCTGTCGTCTTAGAGTTTCACCTGCTCTACACTAACATTTTGCAAAAGTGGAATTTCTTCTAAAGAAAAATTTACTTCAACTACTTCTGCTAGTAGTACTATGACATAACCTTGATAATTAATCAACCTTCCTCATATGGAGTCTCGTATTGTACCTTACCTTTCATTTTCATTAAACGTTTCGGATGAAAACCATCTTATCTTATCACCATAATTATAGAAAACTTACTGCTCAAAACGTTATACGGTCTATTTAGATAAGCCCATTTTTCATTTAAAGTAATGATGAATTTAATCTGTTACCAACTAGAATATTTCTTTATACGTCCGCATAAATAATTGTTTGTTAATTCTTCTTTAAATCTCGTTTCTTTTTTAAATTCCGATCTCTTTCTTCATGTTCTTACTTTAGTTTTGTATCTTTATCCTTCTAATTTTATTTAAATTTCTTCTTGATCCTGTTTTCACTTATTTTTTCTTAATCTTTTTTTAATGCTCTGTCTCTTTTTTTCTCCACTTTTTCATCATTTCCAGCAACTTCGCGATGTCACTTCGAGCACGTTTCAACATCTTAGTTTGTGTAGATTATATTTCATTTTCACCAAACTAATTCTACTTCTAAAATGCATACTGTAACGGTTTATTGTTTTTTTATTATTATTATTATTCGGCAAATGCATAGTTCCCTTAACGAAAGGAAAGATACAAGATACACAATTTCACGAACTGCTAACCAAACGATTAGCCTAACTCACAAATAAGAAATATTCTTGTTAAAGTTTCTCTCATATCTAAGGCACAAACTCAAAAAAGGCCAACATTCTTGCGAACTCAGCTATTGGTTGACAACAATGTAACAGACTCACTAGCTAATTAACTCACGGACTGATCAATAACAATTCTCTTGTATTTTTATATTATTAAAAAATCATGACCTCACGTGCAATTCGTTTTATGTTGTTAAGCATAAAGCTTTACAATGAGCTATTTGTGCTGTGCCCACCACGAGTAACGAAACTCAGGCTTTAGTGGTATACGCCCTCAGACTTATTGCTGAGCCACTGGGAGCCTCATGTCAAATCTAAAAACTCAAGAAAAGTCTAGGCATCACATATCATCATTATGTCATGTCAAAATGATTCAAAATGTCTAAATTAAAATATTAAAACCAGAGTTGACAACACTATTTAGTATTACCTAAGTGACAAGAAAATCGTATTCTTTTTTTTTTCTCCGGGAAATTTCCGTTACTTTTCTTTTGATTGAGATGTGAAACTCAAATACTTCACCAAATATATTTGTTTCACAATTAAGGTAATGTGATACGAAATAACTTATCAATATTTAATATAAAAATGTTATGTAATTTCAATTCAAGAAATCCACTAACCTGAGAGTTTTCGTTTTTGAATAGATCCATTCCAGGAGAGGTAAGTCAGTCTTCCAGTAGCTTTCAGTTATTATTAGGTTCTTTATTTGTGGTTTATCTATTCTTTTTATTTTACGCATTTTCTACTTATTATACAATCGTTATATAGTTGAGTAAAATGTCAAATAAGTGTCCAATCAACTGTAATTAATATATAATAATTACTTCATGTAACATGTGCATGACAGCAAGGTCTGACTGATGTCATATTCGGTGTCTATTTTTGACGAGTCTAAAAACTCGAACATTTGCCATCGTTTTTATGTAAAACATATTCTTGAAAGCTTTATTGTACATGAGCTCACATTTAACCTGATTATCTTTCGAAACATACAGAAACAACGGTATTTTAAAAATTAATTTTGACCTACGAAAACTATTTATTCAAGAGAAATAATTAGTTTTCCCAATGGAATAGTCGTGCTATTGAAACAGTCCAATTAAACTAAAATTTATAAAAATATCTCATGATATGCCTCTGGTGTGAGTAATTTATTTACCATTTGTTTATTTCAGTCAAACACTAAAGTAATGACGCTCTAAAAGCCTTCGGACTTACAACGCTAGAATCCGGGTTTCGATACCCGTGGTGGGCAGAGCACAGTTTGTTTCGTTTATCTGATCTGAATTTCGCGCAAAGCTACACGAGGGCTATCTGCGCTAGCCGTCCCTTATTTAACAGTGTAAGACTAAGGGGAAGGCAGCTAGTCATCACCACCCACCGCCAACTCTTGGGCTACTCTTTTTACCAACAAATAGTGGTGTTGACCGACACATTATAACGCTCCCACGGCTGAAAGGGCGAGTATGTTTGGTGTGACGGGGATTCGAACCTGCGACCCTCAGATTGCGAGTCGATCACCCTAACCACCTGGCCATGCCGGGCCGAGGCAGAGCACAGATAGCCCATTGTGTAGCTTTGTGCTTAATTACAAATAAACAAACAAACAAACTCTTACCGCTTCCCCAAGCCCTTAAAATAAATTATTTTAGATTCTCAATATGACTTGGAGGTATCTAACCTGAATCTGATCTGGTTTAATGAGTTTAAACTCTATCATCGTACATACCTGAAGTTTTGATCCATTAATATGGATAGCGTATTTATTTTTAACTGTAGTTTCATTCAATCTATATACTGCTTAATTTTTTTCAAGGTGCCAGAATAGACCATGGCCACCACGACACCTTAGCTCGCCATGCCCTGGAAGAAACCCTTACTTTGGAAAAGGCAGTTAATGAGGCTTTATTAATGACAAGTCGAGATGATACTCTTGTTATTGTGACTGCAGATCATTCTCAGGTTTGCTTTTTGTCCCTTGAGATTACAAAGTTAAATCGTTTACTAACTGAAACTTTTTTGAAATATTCACACACATATATATATACGCTGTATTTAACACAAAATAATTAATTAAAGAAAAAAAATCACTTAGCATACAATTTATAAAACATGGAATGCGATGCATTAAATGAAGATCATAAGCACCAAACATTGGTGTGAGCATAGTATCTTAATTGTAGCATTATTTAAGAAGATATATTTTTATAAATTTACGATAAAATTAGTTAATTTTTCGACTCTTCAGTGACAGCTGAAAGTTAATTTAGTTTGTAAAATACCAAGATTTTTATTTGTCATTTATCCTTTCATGAAACAGTACGAAACATCATAATAAAAACAGTGAATCTAAAAATTATGCAGATATATGAAAATATGCACATTATTTCATATCATTAGAATAAAAATATTGTAATCTAATATTTATTCAAAAAGAACTTACACTGATGCAAGTATTCAAACCTGCTTATAACAAATCCTCTGCTCACTTAATTAGTTTTTAAATTTTGTAGAACTTTGAATATTAGAAATACCAACAACTGTTATGATGTGAATGTAATTTCTAGGCTGGCTACCACTACTGTGTTTGTTGTATCTCAGTTGGCCTGACGAGCTTTGTATTGAGCGAAACCCATCGTCGGTAATGGATATGGCGGACATAGTATGATTGAAATATTATTATACACCTTCTTCTTCTTGAAGAACCTTAGGGGATTCAAATAAAAAATGTTGTGTTAAAAACATAAAAGGCTAAATATTAATGTCTTCCAGTAAATATAATTATTCAAAATACCTTTGAAAATGACTGTAATAATATATAAGTGTAAAATTTTTTATTTATCATTTGAGATAGGTAATGACAGTGAACGGATATGCTAAGAGAGGAACACCAATACTTGGATTTGCAGGAGTGTCCAATGTTGACAACCTACCTTACACCACTCTTATGTACACCAATGGTCCAGGATATTCTAAGGGAGGACATAGGGCAAATTTGACAGGTGTAGATACCAGTGAGTATGTTCGTTTTGAGTTTTCAATAAAACTTTGCATCTGATTGAGGGAGAGATCCTGTGTTAGTAAAATATCTTGTTCCTTGCCCTGCCACCCCAATAAATGTTTCTTGGAGGTGTTAATATACTGTTGAAAAGTCCGGAATCTACTGTATCCAAATATGCAATTTATGATGGTAAAGCATTGTAATCGGAGTTATGAGCAATCAAAGAAACATTGAATTTCTGAGTGGCAGCACCACCTTATCAATAATGGTCACACATATTAATTGACTATCTTTCTCTTTTTTTAAACCTCAAATCAAATTATGCGACCTTCTTCACTGTCTGTTTGAAGTTGGAGAGTTTGTTCTTGATCTTCTGATCTGGTATAAGGTTAGTAGTACTATCACTACTGCCCTTATCAGTACCAAACCTATTTTTGAGTGCCACAACAGCATATTTGGGCCCAATAGATGGATTTTAATCAACAAGGGCTGTCAAAAAGTCCATCGTGATCGCATCCACAGTGGCTGCACAGGTTGCAAGTCGAACATCTCAGAACTTTATACATCAATGACCATTATGATTGCTACAAAGAGTAGCAAAGTTCCAGTCATGATCAACAGAGCTTAGAGCTATCTGCTGAAGATTAGTTGGGCCATGAAAAACAGATGCAATGACGGAAGAAGAAGAAGGCTCACATAGCGGATCCATCAGTTGCACAAGACGAACTGTCAATAACTATGAGGTTTCTGTTGCTGATGTAGCCAGTCATAACTCAGTCAATATTTGTCTGATTTGGAAACCCTACCTTGTAATCGTTATGTCTCATTGTATGCTATAACATGTACAAGTTTCGCCAAAATCGGATAAATCCCAGTTTTGCTAGGTCAGATTCTTCTTAATAAGGTATTTCTGGTTGAGGGAGTATTCCCGTGTTAAAATATTTGTATTTACTAAACATTTTCTGCTAAAAATCCCATTCCTTAAATTTGAGTCCCCAGTGAGACAGCAGTAAGTCTATGGACATAGAACGCTAAAAATCCGAGGTTCGATTCCCCACAGTGGACACAGCAGATATATCAATGCATCTTTGCTCTGAAATACAAACAAATGTTAAATCTGAAGGTTCCTTTAATATTGAGTGCTCCCACTTTACACAAGGGTTGCATCTGAATGGAACACTAAATTTTAGTTAAAATGTTATCGCGCTTTTTAAGTGTTACAGTTTTTAAAGGTCACTAACCTTTATTAAAAGTATTTTATTTAAATTCATTTTAATTAATATGCAGAAATCACACTGCTATACATGTATTGTTAGCAAATACGATATATACTTCAAACAGTTGGATACTTTGAATATAACAATTTACATGGAGCTAACAAAGTGTATTTAACTAAACTATTAAAGAAGCGTCCATAGTTCCTTGTGTGAATGTGATATTGCTAACTGTCTACATGGCTGATACGTCCATTAACTGACAGAATCACTAGATGAACTATTACAAAAAGTATTAGTTTCGTCCTCACAATATGCTGAAAATTATTTATGCATTATTCTAATTAATCATTAGAAATATATTTACGTAATGCACATTTTCAAAGATGCACTTGATAATAATACTGTTTAACTTACAACTGACGAGGTAAGTGTGATTGTTGTTAAGCGCAAAGTTACACAATGGGCTAGATGTGCGGTGCCAACAGCGGGTATTAAAACCCAGTTTTTAGAATTTTAAGCCTGCAGACTTGCCGCTGAGCCACTGGGAAGAAGTGTTTTAATATATTATTACTTTGGAAAACAACAGCCACCAGCTCTCTAAATTTATTCCATGTTATCTGGTGTATAACTTACCCATTTAAAGATAATGTAAAACCAGTTGTTACGACAGCGGAAATCATGTGACTCTGGTAACACGTCATGAGTTTCTAGAAGGATCATGACTGTTCCTGGCAACTCTAGTCTTTTC